CAAAAGAAGTCGTAGGCAAGCCTTTGGTCATGATATTGGCAAACTGTTGGGATGTGGGAACGTGTAAAACACGAACATGGCCAAGAGCCACCTGATCCCGAACAAAATGGATGTCAAGCTCAATGTGCTTGGTGCGACAATGATGAACCGGGTTGGTGGAGAGGTAGACGGCGGAGACGTTGTCGCAGTAAACCACTGTGGCCTTATCAACAGGACACGAGAGCTCGTGAAGAAGCTGACGAAGCTAAGAACACTCAGCGACGACGTTGGCCACAGCGCGATACTCAGCCTCGGCACTGGACCGAGTGACCGTGGGCTGTAGTTTTGGTGACACCCAAAAAATTCCTGCTGCAAGAAAACAATCCGTTGGAGCTTATTGTCGGTGAAGAGGCCATTGATCTTGATCCACACCGTGTAGGTATCGTCCCCATCGCGAACAACGGTGTGGAAGATGTCGGGGGAGACGGTGAGAAAGAACCACCGGATGAGGGTGGCGTCAATGGCCAGCCAGTTGGCATCGTGGTTGCCGGCGAAGAAGTTGGCGAGACCGTCCATGTGATCACGGATATTGTACTCACGAAAGAGGAGATTAAAGTAGGTTTTCAGGCATAGTAGTTGGTGGAGGTGTGGGAGAGGATGATGGGTACATGCTCGGAGAGGGAGATGTTGCGGATGTCGGCAGCGAAGGGCTCGTCGGGTTCGGTGCCATAGGAGGAATCGAAGGGGTTGCTAGGACCGGAGGAGGTAGAGCGGGCCGACATGGCAGCAGGTGGAGCGGTGGCGGCGGGAGCGGGGCGAGTGGTGCGGCGCGGGCGGAGCAACAGGGCAAGGGGAGCGGCGCGGTGTGGTGTTGCGGGAGGGAGTAGGCGCGGCGGTAGGGGTGCGGCGGCAGGGGTGCGGCGGCGCGAGGTAGGGCTAGCGGCGGCGGCCGGGAGAGGCAATGGCGGCGCGGCTAGAGAGGATCGAGGGTTTAGGCTGATACCATGTAGAGGAATAGGATGCAAACCACAATGTATTGATTGGGTGCATATGCACAAGTATATATAGTACATAAGGCAAGTCATATCTTCAACTATACACAAGGAAGAAAATTTGGAATACAAGAATACATGTGCTAAATACATATCTCAACATTTTCTACCCCATTGTGGCCAAACTCTAGTTGGAAAACATCAAACCTCATTGTGGCCAATAGTAGTAGCAAGTGCTTCTTCCACCCCTATCAGGGGCCAAATTCTTTTAAGAACAACAAACCAATTTTTTCTGGACTATTGGCTGTGCCGCCGATCCCCATGCAAATAAACCATTTTCTGATACTTGGGCGGCAGCAAGAAATGCTACCTGATTACTGTGATTAATGCTTACTTCCTAAGCTAGTTACAAACTAGACTCTCAGCAAATAAGCGGTATATTAGTTCCACTTGCGTGTAACTAAGGAGCATTGAGGTATAGTTCCACTTGCGTGTAACTAAGGACAAACGCCGCCCCAAACTTGATAGTACTAGGGGACAACTGACACTAATGTTATGCGCAAGAGGGAGCAAGTAATAAACAAGTGCATGCAGTGTTAATATCTGAACTGAAAAGTGAAAGTAATGACCATTCCTTGAAAAAGGTAAACGGATAAGTGGTGATATACTCTTTTTTTAACAGAGCGGTGATATACTATTGTTAGTACCTTGTGTGCATGCTGCAGAAAATGTGGGATAATGGTACAAATATGCGGTTGTTGTTCTTGGGGTATCCCGCACTTTCAAATTGTCCGCATCCGTTCGAACCACGCAGTCCGGACGTGTGGCGCCATCTAATATGGTCCTGTATCGATCTGCCGAGCGATTTAGATCATGTTTTACCTGCAATTCGATACCAAACATGAAGGCTTTACAAGAGTCTGAACATCCGTGTGGCCAATCAAAAGCCACCGTGTACCCACGTCCAGGACCAAGAGCAGGTTAGGATCGTGCGTTAATTACTCCGCATTAAAAACGCATATTTCTTAGTCATTTGTTAATTACTCCGCATTAAAAGCGTAGATTTATTACTCTGTTAATTACCTTGATAATTACTCCAAATTAATTAGCTCATTGGATTAAAAGAGAAAACAAATCTGCATTAACTGTTGCACCTAAAAAATTACGGGAGTAATTATTTTGCTATAGTTATACCTTAAATGGCAGAAGGTTGATTCAAATGATGAAAGGTTGATTTCTATTCGGTGGAAGGTCGACTTTCTATAAGCGGAAGGTTAATTTGGCGAGGTTAATTTCTTAAAAATCATAAATAGAGGCGGATGTTTGCGGCTATGGTTCGATGGCCGACTCCCGCATCATGTCTCTGGACCACGTCCAGACATAAAAACGGACATATACCCAAGCTATTTGCAGACCAGCTTTGGAGATCCATTAGGTCATATCTAACCGAACCCTGAATAATCCTTAATTCCTGATATTGGCATTTTTTAGGAGAAAAGCCTCAAAAGATTCCTCTCCTCTTCAAATTTCAGCAGCAAACACTCATTTTTCGATGCTAGCTCTTCTCGTTAAGAAAATGACACACCCGTTGGCGCATCACGCAATTGGCCTCCTGTGGCTATAAATTCCCACTGGCGCCTCACTTAAACCCTAGGTCTTTCCCATCGTTGCCCATTTTACCCAAAAATCGTCGGAATTGGGCTTGAAATCACCGCAGTCGCCTGATACGCCACCACCACCGCCCAAAAGTCACGCCCTCAATTCACTGCCGCGTCGCCTTATTCCACACGGTGAGGATGCTCTCCACACATCTCTTTGCCTGCTCCCGCCAACATCTCCGGTTGGTCATCGTGCCAGTGGAGGAGGCAGAGGAGGAGAAATCCAACATCGCCGCTGAATCGTCGTCATCATAGGATGAGGAGCCCCATGTCAGGTAGCGGTGTATGGCAGTGGCCACGTGTTGCCCCTCCACCAATGGAAGGAGGAGGAGGAGCACTACGTTGTTGACGTGCAGCTCTCCGCTGAGCACGTCGATGTTACGCCTGTTGTCGCCTTCCTCACTGACCCATGGGTCGTGGCGGCACACAGCACACACTGAGCACCGGGAATCACAAGTGCCGCCTGTTGTCATAAATCTCGCTGACACCGACAACAAGACGGTGCTGAAGATGCCCATGGGGACCCATGATGGCAAGGCATCGGGCTCCTACAGCTCGCGGTGATAAATCTCGACTCCGACTATGATTTGTGCTTGTTTTAGCTTAAGTTTAGCTTGGGTTAGATTTAATTTTACGCTTAGTATGATGTTGTGTATGAACTAATATGTAAAATTATGCCCTATGTGTTCTTAATCTAGTTTCAAATTTCATTTTTGAAAGACATATTTGTGCTCAATTTGGATTTGAGAAGTTAGATTTGAGTGTCGGTTAGCTCTACACATTTTTTAACTCCTTGTATTTGAGGAGATAAGATTTGGCGAGCAATTTGAAGGGATATCTTTTGAGGATTCAGTTCTTGCCCTTATCTCACCACATGGCTCATACAAGTAGTAGCATGAAGCTAGAAGAAGTGTGCGGGTGAGATAACAATATTTGCAC